AAACTTTAAGAACCAGAGCTGTGTGGCGAGGAGCTCCATTTTGCATAAAAATGAATTTGGAAACCATTTTCATTTGGAAACCATTTTCTGAGCTGATGTAAAATTAACTGATGTTCATTTTGACTTCTTTGTATTGATCATGCCTCATTATAACATTATTTAGAGATGTCCAGTATCTTTGCTGAAGGTATAAAAAATGTGCTTTTATCCCTTAAGTAGACCTGTTGAAAATAAATAAAAAATGGACATCCTAAACATTTTTCTTTACTTTAAGGAAAATGATATCTACTATGTCATATGTGTGATGAATTAATACCAACTTACCAATCTCCAGAAGTTCATATTTTTATTGTACTACTGTTTTGCTGACTTCAGTGGCTTTGCTTTAATTGTAGATGTTAATTTAGGTTTTGTGGCAGGGCAACAGGGATTAAAATCTAAATAATTTAATTTTATTTAAGCAATATGCATATAAGTATTCACATTAAGATCTTGGAGATTCACAATAAAATCTTTGAGATTCACATTAAGATCTTGGAGATTCACATTAAGTTTTTTTTTTTTTTTTTTTTTTTTTTTTTGATTATCTTCGCTTCCAACAAGGTTGCAAGCAACCACTAATTAGTGTTGGAAGTTACTGGAAGAGAAAAGATTAAGATTGTAGAGCAAGATATAGACAGACGACTTAAAATATTGCAAATTACATGAATCAGGAAAGCAAGATGAAGGAAGCGAATTCCAAAGAACTGATGTTCGAGGAAAAAAACTAGACGAATAAGAGTTTTTGGAGCACTTAGGAACAGTAACAGAAAAAGGATGAGACTTAGTTGAATAACAAGTAACATAAGAATGAATTTTAGTAGATGGCACAAGAGACGCTAGCTCTTTAGAGCAGTGTCCATTATAGTATTTGTAGAAAAGAGAAAGAGAAGCAACATTACGACGATGTGACAGAGGTTGAAGGTTGGCTGCAAGAGCAGGTCCAACTATGTTTACAATGCCTTTTTGCACCTTGTCTAAAAGAGAAAGGGCATCATTAGAAGATCCGCCCCAGATATGGCAACAGTATTCCATACAAGGCCGGATTTGAGATTTATAGAGATAGAGAATAGAATCCAGAGTAAGAAAGTGACGAGCTCGATAAAGAGAAGCAACTTTAGCAGATGCTAATTTTGCAACGGATTTGATATAAGGTTTCCAAGAAAGATCAGAAGTAAGAGTTAATCCTAGAAGATGAAGGGTAGGAGACTCATCGAGTACATTACCGTTCATAAATATAGGAAGGTCTAAATTATTGCGATAACGATTGGCCGAAAAAAATTGAGTTTTATCTGAATTAAAGTTCACCAGCCACTGTGAGCCCCATGCTGTAGCAGAAGTGAGATCCTTTTCGAGCTCAGATGCCCCCTGCAAGCAATCAGAGGGAGTTGGCTTCTTATCACGACAAGAATAAATGGTAGTATCATCAGCGAACAATGCCACCTTAGATGTGAGAATATCTGGAAGATCGTTAATGTAAATTAAAAAGAGTATAGGGCCAAGGATTGAACCTTGGGGAACCCCTGAGGTTACAGAATAAGAAGAAGGGTGCTGTCCATCAAGGACAACTTTTATACTACGATTGGAAAGGAAGGATTCAATAATCTTAAAGATGTTTCCAGATACACCATAAGAAGAAAGCTTATGGAGGAGACCAGCATGCCAAACTTTATCAAACGCTTTAGAAATTTTTTTTTTTTTTTTATTTTAATTCACCTCCTCAAGGCCGAGAAGGCCACTACAGACGAGGAGGCTACTTATTTGTGGCTATAACCCTCTCTCAACTCTATAACTCCGAAACACGAACCTTGACGAACAAGGCTGCTGCGCGGAGAAATGAGTTGAGCGCAGTACTACCAGGGACGTGGTGGTGATCGAACTCGGAACCACTCGTTTATGAAGCGAGCGCTCTACCACTACACCACTACCGCATTGTCAAGAGCAATGTCAAGAAAGAAATGTCAAGAGCAAAGGCCTTAACCTCTCCACCTTTATCTAATGCGCAATAAAACCTATCCGTTATTACTGATAGCAAATCAGCCGTAGAACGAGAAGATCGAAATCCATACTGATGATCAGAAAGTAGGTTATGAGATTCGACATGAGAAATTAAGTGTTTGTTAATTAAAGATTCAAAAACCTTGCTTATGATAGGAAGAAGACTAATGGGACGGTAGTTAGATGAGTCAGATCGCTCTCCAGAATTTTTAAAAATAGGGATAACAGATGCTGCTTTCCAGCAGGCTGGAAAACAAGACTCTGATAAGCACTTGTTGAATAGTTTTGAAAAGATAGACGACAGCTCAGGAGAACACTTCTGCAAGACTAAAACAGGTATGTTGTCCGGGCCGCAAGCTGTAGAAGAGTCTAAGCGAGAAATCACTTTAGATACAGAAGCTGGAGTGATACGAATGTCGAGCAATGGATCAACCTGTTTGACGGGTATATCAGGTAAAACGCAACTAGTGGCATCAAGAGATGACATTGATGAAAAGTTCTTGGCAAACAATTCAGCTTTGTCTTTAGGTGAGGTGACAAAGTCTGAACCGTACAAAAGAGGTGGAATTACAGACTTGTCCTTATTATTGATACTATTAAAGATTCTCCAGAAGTCACGAGAGCCTAATTTTTGTGATGAAATACGAGATTTCATGATCTGAGAATAGCGGGTTTTGGCGTTTGACAAAACCTTTTTACAATGGTTCCTAGCAGTAATAAAGAGACGTCTGTTTTCTGGAGAATTGTTTTGCTGATAGATATGGAAGTAATGGTTTCGATTGGCAATTGCAGCAGCACAATGTGAGGAAAACCATGGAGAAGAGTGAGGCTTGACCTGGAATCGTCAAGAGGGAATAAAGGATTCCATGCCAGCCTGAATCCACGAAGTTATGTAAGAAGCACATTTGTCAACAAGGAGATGAAAGATTTCTACCCAGGGGCCATCACGAAGAAAGTCACGATAGGAGTCCCAGTCAGCTTTAAGGTAGTTGTAAGATGTATGATGATAGGGGGATTCTAATGGTAAAGAAGAATTTGATAATAGTTTTAGAGAGACCAAACCATGATCAGACGCACCTTAGAGTGAGTGTGAAGAAACTGAACACTGACTAGGATCAGAAACAAGACATAAGTCGAGTAGAGAAGGTAAATGATTCGGGTTGTCTGGAAAGCGAGTTGGAAAGTTGACTATTTGAGTTAGGGATTGAGAAAGACAAAAGTTGTAGGCCTTAACGCCAGCAGAGTCACTGACACTAGAGCCAAGCCAATCGGTGTGATGGGCATTAAAGTCACCAACAACAACAATATTGGCTGATGGATAAAGAATGAGGGCTTGGTCAATATAATCAGAAATAACATCAAGAAGAGTGCAGTCTTGGGATGAGGGAGAGCGATATAGAACAAAGAGAAAGGTGATAGAGTGAAGTGGTGCTAAACGAAAGCACATAAAAGAGTAGTCTGTGGATTCAAACCTAGTTTCCCGACAAATGGGTGAATTCTTATGAATGTAAATGCCCAGGCCAAGCATGTGACTATTGGAGTCTTTACGAATTAAAGGAAGATAACCATCAACCCTAAGATCACAAGATGAGACAGCTGAACTCAAATTAGTCTCACAAAGAGCAAGCAGGTCTGGTGAACTTTGCAAGAGATAAGACTTAACAGAAGAAAAGTTACTTCGAAGACCACGAATATCGGTGAATGATAGTTTAGCGAACTTGGTGATCGCTGTGGTTTTTTGTGTTTTATAGTTTTTGTTACTTTATTCATTTTTAAATTTGTTAAAGAACTTGACTCGAAACATTGATAGTACTCAGTACACTGTTCTATAGCTCAAGCAATTGCCTCATTTCCACTAATAAACCCTAAGCCGTAACAAAGGGCTCCAATGTGGCCTTGGCAATGCACACCAAAAGTACAAACAGGGACACCATCCATGCGCAACATGGCACTGTTAGTACTTTGATATTTTTCAGCTGTTGATGGAATCTCTGAGAGCTACCACAGAGTTCGGAAAAACCTGACTACCAGCCGGCCTCAGAACCATAAAACTGAGTTTTAGAGCTGTACCCTTATTTGGAGATAATAGAATGAGTTGCCTAGTCATAAAAACAGAGACACAAGCAAAACCCATGAATCGAGTCAAGATGATCCAGCGTTCAACATCCTAAACTGGAAATAGTGTATTAAAAATACATTTGCGCCAGCCTAATAGATGACGAAGGGGTGCGAGGCTGGTCAACAGATAGAATCTGTTTACCCCTTAAATCTTTGCCTAGGAGGCCTTCTACAAGACAGCAGCCGGATGCATGTAACATCTGCCCAAGATGAGTATTTTTATCAAGACACCATCTCTAGCCTTTACTCAACCAAGAGCCCCAAGGCAGGGGGTGTTTTATGTTGGAGTTTGCATCTCCTAGCCTTTGCCTAAAAAGGCATATCCTACAAGGCAGCAGGACATGAAGCAGATTGTACTGGGTTACATGTTACCAGTAGCAGGATAAACCTGACCTGACTGACTTAATGTGAATCTTGAAGATTCACATTAAGTTCTTGGAGATTCACATTAAGTTCTTGGAGATTCGCATTAAGATCTTGGAGATTCACATTAAGTTCTTGGAGATTCACATTAAGTTCTTGGAGATTCACATTAGGATCTTGGAGATCTTAAATTTACCATTTTTGTAGTAGCTAATCTGTTTTCCTGTTTTCTCTAAACTTTTGACATTAAAGTAAAATTCTGCTGTATCTTATTCTTTATTTATTGTACAGTAAGTATATAAAAAATTTCTTATTAAAAATCCGTTACATCTATTTTCAAACCTAAATGTATTGCATGTAAACCCATGCAGAGTAAGTTGTTATTAAAAAACTACAGTGCATCTATTAATTTGGGCAGGGACTGTATATGTTTACATATATATGTGTTAATATTTTTATATATAAAAACATTTTTTTTTTAGATTTTGTAGATGAAGTCAGTGAGTTAGTGATAAAAAAAAATAATTTAATTGCATTATTGTCATACTTGGATGAAGCATACTCAGTTTCATTTAAAATTAAACCCAGATCATATTCACTAGGATGGAAGAGTGTTATTCATTTAACCATTGGAAAAGATGTAGGTAATTATGGTGATAGAACCCCAGCTGTATTTTTTAATAGTGATAGGTCAGGTAGATTATACATTACTTCAGCAGTTAGTGGAAATAGCAATCATATTTTTATCACCCAGCCACTGCCGCTGAATGAGTGGACAAGTATACAAATATTGCAAATCCAATTAAAGGGAAAGTATGTATTTTCAGTGTATTTAAATGAATTAATAGTTCATAGCGTTGAGAATACAAAGCCACAATCTTTTGAAAATCTTAAAGTCTATGCTGCAGATCCTTGGTATGATGCACAAGATTGCTCCATTAAAGATCTCAAAGTCATAAGTGGAAGTAATGGTAAAATAAATTTTTTAATTTGTTGTTAACTCTATATAAAGATTTCTCTAATTAATTAATTAATTTTTTTTTTTTTGTTAAGCATTTCATTTTAATACTAAAATTATGTCACTTTTGCTTTGCAAATAAAGCATTTGGTGTTATAATATTTATAGAATTAACACATTGTGATGTCATGATGAGTGTGTTCATTAAAATTAGGAAGTGACCTGAAGGAAATGTTTCTAGAGCTAACTTTCTAAGTTTCTAACTTCTTAGAACCACAGAGTAATAAGTTTTAATGTTTGACTTATGACTTCAGTTTTTATTTTTTATTTTTTAATTTAGGCAGTTCAAATTTCTTTTTGTTTTAAATTGTATTTATTCTTTTGATGATTTAACTCTTTTTTTGAATTTTAAAAAAATTCATTGATAATCTAAACTTTATGATTTCCTTTTAGGAGTCTGGATTCCAATGATGACACGATTTGCCAGCTGGGAATCGTCTTTTTGGGATAAAAGTTATGAGTCTTATGAAAATGGTTTTGGTTTGGTAAATCAGCAATGGATTGGCTTAAAAAATCTTAATCAAATAACAAGCAATTATTTTACTGACATGAGAATTGATTACGTTTTTAAAGAAGGTATAACATTTAGTACAAGGTATTATAATGTTACAATTGGCTCAAGTGAAGAGAAATATATCTTTCAATATGAAAAGTATAATCCAAGAGGCTGTGAGTTTTTTGTTGTTGTTTTTAATGATATCAGTAGTTAAAAAATGTTTAAAAAAAAGATAAATATTTTGAATAGTTAAAGCAATGCATTTGTTTTCCTTTTCATAAATTGTCTTATTTATGTTTGATTGCTTTGTTGATTTATTGTTTTTTTCAAAAACAACATCATTGTTTAATGAGAACATGTTCTTGAATTTATATTTTGGTTCTAATGATTATTCTCTTTCTAATGTGCCTGCAAAATCTTTTGTGAAGTTTTATAAAAATTCATTAGGAGTAACTGTCAAACCTATATCATTGAGTTTAGGAAATTCCATGGAAATATACCTGTTTTATGTGCCACAGAACCAAAGTAACAACAAACTGAAAACTAAAAATAGATTTTGAAACAATTCATGTATCTGTCTGTGATAAAATTTTTTAAATTTAATTCACTCCAACAAGGCTGCAAGCAACCACTATTAAGTTAGTAGTTACTAAAAAACAAAGAGCAAGGAAAATGGTTGATAGAAGACTTGAAATTTTAAGTTTAAAAGTTAAAGTCAGTAAAACATTTGTGCGGTTAGTTAAGCAGGTACTTAGTTCAAAACAAAAATATGATTAAATTTTAATATAAACTTTGTTTTAAGTTTTAAGTTTAAATTTGTTTTAAGTTTTGTAAATTATTTAAACAAAAGGATGATAAACAAAATGTAAGGTTTTGAACATATAGAAATTTTTTTCAAAGTTTGTTATTCATCTAGAAGTTAAAAAGTTTGTGTTTAGGTAAAATAACAATCTAGGGGGATTTCTAGGGTCAGGTTTTTATCCAATCTTTTAGTAATGCAATATTGATGTGTAAAAGACTTGTTTATAAAACATACACATACAAAAAAAGAGTTTTATTTAAGGTAAGAAAATTAGATTACTTTTTTTCTAATTATTATCTTTATTTATTATTACTTTAGAGTTTAGAAGAATACAAACAATTATGTTTGTATAAATTTTGTTCAAGAAAAAAATTTAGGAAATTAAAGCGATTAAGTGGCATAAACTGTTATGATATAGTTAAAGCTTTTTCCTTTATTTTTCAAAAATGTTAAAGGATTGGACTATTTTCAGTTCTTCTTTATTTCATTTTAAAGTCTTCCATAGTCATGGGTTATGCAAGAACCATCCTCTAGAACCACTGCACTAAAGTTAAACAGGATGATGTTATTCAGAAGTATAAGTGTAATAAAGTATATCAAAAATAAAAGGCAAGATAATATTTGTGGAACAAGCTTAAAAAACACAAAAGAAAACATTCAAAACCAATCTGATTGACTGTAGGACTTAAATAAAAATTATCAGGGAAACTAAAGACTCTTAATAAAAATTCTTAAACTTAAAACTTTCTTAAAACTTTCTAGAGATTAATCATTAAAAAAAAAAAATTAATTTTTTTACAATACTTTTAGCAAAACTTTATTTAAAATCTAAATTTTTTCTAGTTAATTTTTGTTTTTTTTGTTTGTTAAAAGTAAATAAATTTTTTTTTTGTTTTTTTGTTTGTTAAAAGTTTACTTTAGCTTGAAGAGTTTTTTTCCGTTTTACTATAATTTACCAAAACTTGTTGAGTTAGTTCTGTTTATCGCTATCAAAGTTTTTTAAGCTTGTTTGATGCTGGCAGAATGATGCCACAGGAAATGAAAATTTGTTGTATAATCACTGTGGTCACTGACATGTTGGTGAGCATTGTAAAAGAAGTGCAGAAGATACTTTTAGCTGTTAAAACTTTTGTTATAGATCCTGGAATAGTCGCAAAGGTTCTTCTTTCAAAATTTCTTCAAGCTTTGCACCAAAATCCTACCATAGATGAAGCTGTCACAGAAAGCTCAAAAAGATTTTTAGTAAATACTGAGCTAGAAAGTGACTGGGGCTGCGGCACTGCTAAAAATGAGACCTTTTGTAAATCCTGCAAAATTATAAGACTTAGCAGGGATTGATTGCCAGGTCTTTTTTATATATTATAATATATAAAAAATTTATAATTTTTCATATATTATAATTTTATACTTACATTTACTATTTATTAAATTCTGGCATATATTTATGCTATTATTTAATAAATAGGGACAGATGCAACTTATTGAATAAGAAGTTTTGGTTTATTGTAATAGAGATGATAACGCGTTTGAGCATTGACCATGATAAGAGAAACAGCATAAAAGAGGAAAGCTCAAGCCTGATGATGCTGATGATGATGATGATGATGATAATAATGATCATGGTCATGATCATCATGATCATCATCATCATGATCATGATCATGATGGAAATGATGATCATGATGATTATAATGTTTATATATGCATATATATACTAAATATAACATGAGTTTTGAAAAAAAGGTATGTACTTTAGGATATATAAATGTTTATGCAGCCCGAGTCAAAAACCGGGCCCAGGTTATATTTTATCAAACCTGGCCCCAGTCAAATATCAACCCAGATTGCCTACTATACTCAGCAAACATGATGTGTTAAAAATTTACAAAGTAGTTACTAAATAAGGTTAAACAACATTCTATATAAAGTGATCAATAGTATCATAGAATGTGACAAGTGCATGATAGAAAGTGTGACCATAGAAGTGCACCAATCTCCTAAACAGGACAGAGAGAGCAGTGTAGAACAGGTTTTTTTGCAGTTATTCAATAAAACCTGTTCTACACTTTTATTATTAAGTTCATATCTTTGACACTCATCTTTGAAAATTCAAAGAAAACATCAATGCTTACTTACAGCAGAAAACCAAGCGCTTTTATCATGATATAATGGACTTTAAACATAGCTATCAAGGACAGTATAACAAAGACATTTGGGGGACCACAGGCCTAGTGATGAATAAAAACTGCGCAACGCATAAGCACGACGTGATTTTTGACGTCGTTAAATTCTTTTTATTTGCTTTTCATATTTATCGACATTAACTGCACCAATTTACTTAATTACCGCAAAACTACTTTAAATCATTAATGTAGAAATGTTATTATTTTAAAATGTTTTGGAATGTTTCGTTTTTTAAAATGTAAAAACATTTGTTTATTTTCTCGATGTTTGTCACGTTTTGTCTATACTAAACGAATAAAAAACATAACTAAACATTTGAAAAAGATAAAATATGCTAATATTTGATTTTTTTTCTTCTCAAATATGTAATTTGAAGTTTTTCAAAGAATTATTTTTTCTTTTTAAAAAGTCAGCGAGTAATAAACTGGAAATTTTAATATTGTACGATTAAAAACTGTGCAATAGCTAATATTTTTACCAGCGAGTTTGTATAATATTTTTTTATTTATTTATTTTTATTTATTTTCATAAAGCGGTTGATAAGCACAATCACTCATATTACTAAAAAACTTTAACGAACGTTTTGAATAGATTTTTAATGTTTACAAGGAATTTTATTTCTAGCAAAATAAAATAAAATGCTAGAATAAAAATCTTATAGTAGGTACGTGCGTATCCAATGAGTTACGGTACCGATTACATAATCAAAATCTTTGACTATTTTATCAAAGCGTGCTTAGCGTTTGAATTGTAAGAATGTATTTTGTTATGTTATTTTTTAGGATTTTATATCAGCATAGACTTTTTTTGAAAAGTGGAAGAGTTAAACTTCATTTTTGGATAGTTTTTTTTTTGTAGTTACAACCGCTTTTATTGAATTTACTTTTCTTAAAAACTTCGTTGTTGATCACACGTCAAATTAATATTGAAAGAATGTTGAGAACATTTTTGAAACTATTGAGAAAAATTTAAAACTTATTTTCTACGTACATGCCAAATTTTATCGAAAAAGGTTATGTAGCAGACACCTAATTTTTTGTAGCAGAATATGTACCTAAGTTAAAATATTGTAAATAAAGCAAAATATTGCGCTTCTATCAACAAAGTTCCATAACAAAACTACCGTTAGCCGAAACTGATAATTTAAAACTGGTCGCAGTTTTTTAAGCAATCCTTGTAATCAAATTTTGTTACTTAAATGAGCATAACTTTTTGTAGAATTGTTGTTCTGTTATGAAATTTTCATTATTGTAATGCTGATTTTAGCCTCTTTTTAATGATATATAATAATCAATAATAAAAATAGTTTAAAATTTTTACACACTTTTACTTATAGGTATAAAAAACATATTTCAGCGAAAAAATTTGCATATTGAACAATATTTAATGAAAGGTGCGCTAAAATAAAAAAAAGAAAACATTACGTGGTTAAATATGAGAATTAATTTTATTTTATAAATAAATGGCTAATGATTACAGGTTACAAATTAATTTTTATTTTATTTTTTACGTTTATTGAGCCCTTTTCAGGGTGTTTTTGGAAATTCGCTTTACATCGGTAGAAACCGGGTAACAAAAACAGGTTATATAAACTTATCAAACTATTGACGTTCTATTTTCAGCAGCTGTTCTTGAGCACGCTTCGTTGAGTTTTGGTAACTTTTAACAAAAAAGTGATTGTTATTAATTAGTTTTTTTTGAGTTACTTTTTATAAAAATTTTAATAACTGTACTTTTTTATTGAATCAAGTAGAATACGTTTTAATATTAATCCTTTTATTTTTTTATTTACGCTTGCCAATTTTTAAAATATTTCCTTGAAAATACTCTTAAATACTTTAAATACGTCTAACAGTTAATAAATATTTTTAAATCTATGGAATAATTTTAAAACCTAACAAACCCCCATAAAATAATTATTTAAGTTAAAAATCTAAAACTAAAAGAAAGTATTTTTGTTTAATTTTATCGACAACTTTGCTATTGCTGAATAATTTTATTAAAATGTTAGCTTAAAAAGATTTTTTTTTTAATCTGAATTTTTTCTACTTGTAAATAATGAGCATATTTATTTTTTTTGTAATTCAAACTTTTATTTCAACTGCGTGCGGTTTTTAAAATACTTTATTAAATGTTAAAATAATCGTAAATTACTTCATTAAAATTCCGCTCAAAAATATATTTAAA